CCCCCTCGCCCTCCCTTCCTTCCCCTCCCCACGCCTCTTCATGTCTACCTGAAAGGGAGAAACTCTAAGAGTTTTATTTCTTGAACCCCGGCGCTTGTTCGAAACTTAAAGACGTTTGCTAGGAACTAAGAAATGACAAGTTGCGGCCGTTGGTAGGCCGAATCGTAAGTGGACGGCCCAAGTGGAGCGGCTGGAATAGGTTAAATTGATAAATAATTTGCGGTCCTTGGCAGGCCGAGCCGTAATTTCTGGAGCAAACGGGCAGTTCGAATCGTGGGGAAAATGGGACAGTCATAATTCATAAATTTTAATATAGGGTCGAACTAGTTAGTAGATTATGATGGGAAAGATAGTAGGGCTAAGAACTAAGGAACGAGTGTTGTAAAGTAAGAATGTTGTGTCAAAAACGAATGTTGTAAAGTGCACCAAAAAGAAGAACTGACTGCTGGTAATGAAGGCAAGAATCCACAAATTGCTGGAGGCTTTCCACATAATATTAGCGGAAAAGGCCGTGAAAGAGGTGAATTAAATGCCTTTATACAATAATATTGGTGCGCCGAGAAAATGAACAAATTAGAAAACTTCGAGAAAAAAAAAGCTATACCGAGAGCCACTTCTGTCAACCGATGTACAAATAACCATAGCTGGTAAAACAGGTCTCAATTTTATAAATTCTTTTTCCATTTCATCGATATCCTCTTCTGTAAATAAAGAGCTCGGCTGAAATTATGGACAAAAAACAATCCCCCTTTTCCTCACCTCTTTCTCCTTTCCTCCCCCTCCTACGCTTTGCTCTTCCTTCCCACCCCGTCTTACACTGAATTGCTTTCACAGATGGAGCAAATCGGAAATAGTCCAAGTAGTAGCAAATGCCAAAAGCAACCAACCACCCACTGACAAAGCTAACAATGGATCCCTTTTCCGAGAGTTGCTTAGAAATAAAAGAATGGCTTTACCAAGCCTCTGGCAAGCGCTAATGCCAATTTACCATCGAAACGAATGAACAAAAAGACTGGTTTCCTCACTGGCAGAATCGTGCTTTCAGCAACTAACGTGACAACAACACTAATTTCCAGTGCGCCAAATTCTCTCTAAGAAAGGAAAAAGCAAACAAAACCGTTCTGATTTAAAAATCCATAATTTAAACAAGAAAAAAAACAAACCTTTCCATTCGTTGTTAAAATCCACAAAAAGTGGTTTCATTAACCAATTGTGAGTGTAAAGTAACCGCAAAAAATGATGAAATGCGGTAAAATATGTCCTGAAAAAAATGAAATTCATAAATTTGACACAAAATTCAATAACACAAAACAATAAAATCTAGCAATATTGATGGTACATGAAAAACAAAATTTTATAAAAAACAATGGTAATTATGTTGTTTTTTAGTCGGTAATTCATCTAATGCCCATTAGAAGGGAAAAAATCCAGCAAAATTGAGAGAAAACGCCACAAAACCTCGGTGGATGGATTGAAAAAGGCTTCAAAAAAACTGAAGCAACAATCGTTTCCAGAATCGTTTCATCCAAATAATCTGAGAGTAGGTGTGATGAGAGCCAATGTTTTGCAAGGCGACATGTTTCCGCGAATGCTCCAAATTGTTGACTTGCACTGCAACACTTTTCAAGGTATTACAGTAATAATAAATGGCAACGCGCACCAGGCTAGCCGGTGCGATCATGCGTTTTGTGCAATTCAGCCCA